TTCTGCATGTGCCATCTCTAAAGGGAAATCTGCTTTCGGTCAGTAGGATGGCGGATGAAGGTTGTGTTATTATTTTCAACAAAGCTGGGTGCAAAGTGGTCAAAAATAATTATGTCATCGCTGTTGGAGAACGAAAGGCAAGTTTATACCAACTAAAGGAACATGGGAAGGCTACACACTTAGATTTTTTTGCCGAGATGGGCACCACCGAGCAGCTCGGCATTTTATTTTGCTGGAAATTCAGCAAAAAATATGTTTGTTAGCTGAGATCTCAGCAAAATTCCCGTTTGTTAGCTGAATCTCGGCAAGTTTTTCACTGAGATCCAGCAAAATAAAGTGCCGAGCTGCTCGGTGGTGCCCATCTCGGCAAAAAAATCTAAGTGTGTATGTTGGCTGCGGTTCAACATCAAGACAACTGTCAGCACATGTGGCACCGCAAGTTTGGCCATCGCGAACCCGGAGCTATCGAACGCATCGTACACACTAAGTTTTTTTCGCCGGATCTCGGTAAAACAATTGCCGAGATGGGCACCACTGAGTGCTCGGTAACCATCTCGGCAAACAGAAAATTTACCGAGGATCTCGGTAATCATAAAATTCACGGTTGTCAATTTTTGCCGAAAATCTCAACAAAAAAAAAACAACTGATTGCTCGGCAAAAGCATCCCTACGGTAAAAAACATACTGAATCTCGGCATTTTTTTCCAATTTTGTTTTCTTGCGTTAAAGAATAAGAAAAAAATAAATAAAAAGATTGTCATGTGCAAAATAGTTGCAAATAAGAAACACTGCAATGGGATTATCATTTTGTATATCTATTAAAGTCCATAAAAATCTCGATAAAAATGCATCACATGAAGTTGATGAAGTTGTTGCCGGTAGTGCTCATTTGGTTAATTTTAAAGCAACATGGATAAAAATAAGCCAAAAAATAGCTTATCAGACGGCAAACATGCTACTATGTAAACCGTAAACGCTTTACATAGTCGGACTGAAATTTTAAACCAAACAAGAATTATTTTCACTCAAACAAAACAGAACAATCTTGATCTTACATTAATCCATTGGATTATACCATGGAGTGGGTTCATCTTTCGTAGGTTCGGATCCTGCTTCCTCGAGCGTTTTAGTCCACGTTTTGGGTTTTTTAAAGTTGTTTTCGATGCAAAAGACACAGACAACAATTAACTTCTGATCTTCTGAAAAATGGCGGGTGGAAAAAAGTGACAGCTGTATTACCGAAATTCGGCAATGGATGAGGCCAATACCGAAATCTCAGTAAACGCGATTGCTGATTTCGGTATTATTTCTATTAAAATAGTTGTTTGAGACTAACATCAGCCCAACCTAGCTACATCCTCGTACTGGCTATGCACAATTGTGACCTACTTCCAACGAGTTTGCAGCATCGCTTATTGTGTTCTCATCTACACACCGAGCAGAGGATAGATGGTCATCGATCAAGCCAGACGAGAGGGATTAGATCGTTTCGCTTGTATATAGGCTGCAGTGGTGAGCAATTCAGGAGCGAGAACAGGAGCGGTCACTCTCATGGACCCGAGCGAAAACATCGCATGAGTGGCGATCGTGGTTAGAAGATGACCAGTGGATATTTTTGCATTAGAAACCTATCGACCACCGACCGTGTGTGGAGTCCGCGCGGGCAATTTTAATCTGTTTTTGTGTGTTAGAATTTAAGCCAATGTTTAGTTTTAAGGAATAAAAATCGTTGTTATTGGTAAAATAAATGTAGTGATGTAACTGTGGTTTCCGTAATTCGTCGCGTGTGTAATTTAAGTGAAGAAAAAGGCCCTGTATGCAACTATAGGATAGATGCTACATTCCTTGCATCTCCATCCACCGACGAGTGTTGGGGAGCTTTCCAACAACCCACATCGAAGGCAGAGGTAATTTGGTTCCCCAACATTTATGGTCCTTCGAACCGGATCGGTTGGACTACGGAGATTTGGAACGGACAGTATCAGTTGGGCTGATTCAGACCCGTACGGTAGCCTGAGGCAGGCTTGGATTGGCGCCATCGCGGACGGCGTTGAATAGGAAATCGCCATATCTCCCGTGAACAACAGTTTTACGGCCATCACACAGGAAGATAATTAACACCGCGCCATCACTACATTACGGCACAAAGGACATCCAAGGATAAGGGATCCATTCTTACCTCACTATTCAAGAGGACAGCGTGGCTTCGTTTTGGGCATCCATCGGTTGGATTGTTCCCACAGGTGAGTTGGAACAAAAAACTATATGTCCATTCGATGCTAGGGAATTGCGCCATCCTAACACACGTTTTTTCTGCAATCTATTTGATTATTCGGTTGGACTGCCCGGCTTTGAGCATTTGCATGCGTATGCCAGGAGTGTTGGACATCGGTAATCGATCTCGACGTATGGAATTACATAGGATCATTGGATCGTTCGTAGGTTTGGACAACTGATCCAGCACCGGATTTACTTCTCCAGGTAAATATATTTAGATCAGTATATGTCCAGCCTTTGCAAGTGTTTACGCGATACTAACGCCCACATTTCGACGTATTTCTTTGCATCCATCCTATAATATCCACCGAGACGGAAAGACGCTGTTCGAAAACGAGTTGTTGGTTTGTCATCTCGACCTACATTCCTGGAACTGGAACTGGTAGAACCACGAAGACAGACGCCATCCTAATTCCATTTGATTGAGGAGCATCACGGCCATCTTCGAGGAGACGAGTTGGAGCGTGGCAAGAAGAGGCGGCATCGATTCATTTTCTCTGTGGTGAGTGACAAGAATGTATATGTCTCCGAAGCGGGACCTCAGATAATATACGCCTTTTAAATGAATTTCGAATCCTCTTCAAATCATTTACAACGCAATCCCTGAGCAAAAACTGTTCGTTATCAGAACAATTGACTCATTCTGCTGTGACTTTTGGACGCTTTTGGACGTTTTTTTTTCTGGTCGTTTTTGGATTGGATTGGTGCCGTTACTGGTTCCACGGGTTAGTTTGAACAGTATATGTTCTGCCGAAGCTTTACTTTGGATACTACATGCATTCCTTCCTCTTCTTTGGATCTCAATCTGAACTGTTTTGCTGACAAGTTGAACGAGTGGACTTTCGCTTTGTAAATCGGACACAGCGAGCTGTTTGGAATCGAGTTAGCAGTTGCTGTTTGTTCTCATAGGTGAGCTACAACAGTATATGTCCGCCGAAGCCAGGTTTTGGATACTACAGTTGGTTCTTTCCTCCTCTTTCCTCATCAATCGAACGATTACGAGCTAAGCTGCAAAAATCGGTGTGACGTCACTGTAATCAGCGACTCTACAATTTACTGGATTAGGTGTAGCAGGTCGCAGTATATCGTTCTGTTCTCTCAGGTAGGCTTCAACAGTGTATGCCAGCCGAAGCCTTGGACTATCGGATCTCTACACCACCCAATTCTTCTATTTACCGGTTTGAGTGACGCATATCAACAATGCCGACCCGCGACAAGAAGCCGCCAGCGTTCAAGCTGTTGATGGTCCAGCTTAAGAACATCCAGACATCTTTGGACGACATCTGGAGATTCGTGGACGGTTACCCGTCGACAACTACAGCAAGTCAGGTCAACGTTCGCTTGAATAGGATCGATGAGTTGTGGGAAAGGTATGGAGAGATTCTAATCGATGTTCAAGCTCATGATGACTTTGAGGATGAGGATCAGGAGTTCGATAAGGCTAGGTTAGCGTATAGTGATAAGTACTACTATTGTAAGGCGTTCTTGATGGATAGGGCCAAGGAACTGCAGGATCCGGAGGAAGTTGAACAATCCATACGAGCAAATGAGTCGTTGACACACGGCCATGGTACCCTTGATCATGTGCGTTTGCCTCAAATTAAGCTACAAGTTTTCAACGGGGACATCGATGAGTGGATCAGCTTCCGTGATCTGTTCACTTCACTTATACATCGGAAGACGGACTTGCCCGAAGTGGAAAAGTTCCACTATCTCAAGGGATGCCTGCAGGGAGAACCAAAGAGCCTGATTGATTCATTGAAGATTACGAAGAACAACTACCAAATTGCGTGGGATATGCTGATGAAGCGTTATGACAACAGCAAGCAATTGAAAAAGCGACAGGTACAAGCTTTATTCAATTTGCCAACATTATCCAAGGAATCGGTAACGGATCTGCATACTCTGACTGATGGTTTCGAGAGAGTGGTGCAGAATTTGGACCAGGTGATCAAGCCTGAGGATTACAAGGACCTGTTGCTCGTAAATCTGCTCACAAACCGGCTGGATCCGGTAACGCGCCGAGGTTGGGAGGAACATTCCTCGACCAAGGACCAAGACACGTTAGAAGATCTCTCGGATTTCTTACATCGTAGGATCCGGATTCTGGAGTCATTACCAACGAAGGCTTCGGATTCCAAGACTTCTTATCAAGTACAACAACCGTTGAGACAGAAATCGTCTGTTGTGAAGGCCAGCTACGGTTCTGTGCAATCGTCTGGGGGACGATGTGCGGTATGCAAGGAGAACCATCCACTCTACCAGTGTTCATCCTTCCAACGGTTGTCGGTGCGAGAAAGAGATGCAGTGCTGAGGGCGAACTCCCTATGCAGGAACTGCTTCAGATCGGGCCATCTGGCAAAGGATTGTCCGTCAAAATACTTCTGTCGTAGTTGCAAGGGTCGTCATCATACATTGGTATGCTTCAAACCGCAGAAGGATGGGTTGGCGAAGGTCGCTGCTGTTGCTGGAAACAACAATCCTCCTCCTCAAATGGAATCTGGTGAACCATCCACTTCTACATCCTCCCAGGTGGTCAACATGGCAGCCACCGAAATAACAGTCTCTGGGTCCACTCAACAGTTCTCCTCCAAGGTTTTGCCGAGAGTAATTTCATCGCTGAACGGTTGAGTCAACGGCTCAGGACACATCGAGAGAAAGTAGATATTTCTGTGCACGGTATTGGTCACGCGGCTACAAAGGTTAAGTACCAGATTACCGCGATGGTTCGTTCGCGAGCTACGGCTTTCTCGCAGAACATGAATTTCCTCGTGCTCCCAAAGGTTACGGTAAATATACCTACGGCGAAGGTGAATACACAAGGCTGGACGGTGCCTAACGGGATCATCCTGGCGGATCCCACCTTTTTCAATCCAAGCTCAGTGGACATGGTGTTGGGCATCGAATCCTTTTTTGATTTCTTCGAAACTGGTCGAAGAATTCCCCTCGGAGATCAATTGCCGACACTAAACGAATCAGTGTTCGGTTGGGTGGTCTGCGGAGGTCTGACAAATCCAAGTCAAGGCTCAAGCATCAATTGTAGTACGGCAACTACACAAGGATTAGAGGAGCTAGTCGCACGGTTTTGGGCTAGTGAAGAGATTGGCAGTTCCAAGGTTCTTTCGTTGGAGGAAAGTAAATGTGAGGACATTTTCCGGAAGTCGGTTCGCAGGGAATCCGACGGTCGATACTCCGTTTCGTTGCCGAAAGATGAAGACGCAATTTCCAGGTTGGGCGAGTCACGGGACATCGCATTCCGGCGGCTTCAAGGCACAGAACGTAGATTGGCGAGGGATGTTGGTCTGCGAGAACAGTACCATCAGTTCATGGAGGAATACATCCGATTAGGGCATATGACGAAGATAGAGGAAACGGCTGATCTCGAAAAACGATGCTATCTGCCACATCATCCGGTAATTAAGGAGGCCAGCACCACAACTAAGGTCCGTGTGGTATTCGACGCATCATGCAAGACGTCGTCCGGCGTTTCGCTCAATGACGCTCTGCTGGTGGGACCGATTGTACAGGAGGACTTACGATCTATCATGCTCCGGAGCCGCGTCAAGATAATCATGCTGGTAGCCGATGTAGAGAAGATGTTCCGGCAAATCTTTGTTCTACAGGTGGATAGGCCACTCCAATGCATTCTATGGCGCTTCGATCCGTCGGAACCGGTAGGCGTGTACAAACTCAACACTGTCACGTATGGAACGAAACCTGCGCCCTTTCTGGCAACGCGTACATTAAACCAGCTTGCGATGGATGAAGAAGAACAGTACCCAATGGCTGCAAGGGCAACCACGGAGGATACGTATATGGATGACGTTATCACAGGAGCGGATACGGTCGAAAACGCAAGGGAGCTATGCAAGCAACTCAACGAGATGACTTCCAAAGGAGGTTTTAAGCTTCGGAAATGGGCATCAAACCATCAAGCAGTATTGGAAAGCGTTTCCGAGGACAATCTGGCTATTCGAGTTTCGGAAGGGATTAATCTGGACCCTGACCCAGTTGTAAAAACTCTAGGGTTGACTTGGATGCCTACTTCCGATCAACTGAAGTTTCAATTTACCATTCCGGGTTGGAATGCATCACACCAACCAACCAAAAGGGAAGTTCTGTCGGTGATCGCCAGTTTATTCGATCCTCTAGGACTACTCGGTGCTGCAATCACTACAGCCAAGGTTATTATGCAGCTTCTGTGGAGGATTCGGAACGACGATGACCAAGCATTAGATTGGGACCAGCCACTGCCTTTGACGGTGGGTGAGATGTGGAAGAAATACTACGACGAGCTTCCTCTGTTCAACAGCATTCGTATTGATCGTTGCGTCATTGTTCCAGAAGCAACATTGATCGAGATTCATTGCTTTTCCGATGCTTCGAACAAAGCATATGGCGGATGTGTCTATATAAGAAGTCAGGATTCGGAAGGGAGATTCATGGTTCGACTGCTTTCGTCCAAATCCAAGGTAGCACCGTTAAAAACACAGTCTATCCCAAGATTGGAGCTGAGTGGCGCTTTACTGACCGCGCAGCTGTATGAAAGGGTTCGAGACTCTATTAGAATTCCTGCTCAAACATATTTCTGGACTGATTCAACTTGTGTTCTGCGGTGGATACAAGCTTCTCCAAACATCTGGACCACTTACATCGCGAATCGGGTCGCGAAAATCCAAGACATTGCTGAACCAACTCAGTGGCGGCACGTCCCAGGAAAGGAAAACCCAGCGGATTTGATTTCCAGAGGGATTTCTCCGAGGGATATTACCAATAATACTTTCTGGTGGGAGGGACCAGATTGGTTAAAGAAAGGTCCTGATTACTGGCCTGTTTCTCCCAAAGAATTTCCATTGGAGGAGGCAGAGAAAGAGAAACGACGAACGGTTGCTTGTGCACTGTCGGTGAACACGGAGTTCAACGATTGGTACCTGAAGAAGTTAACGTCGTACACGGATCTCGTTCGGAAAACAGCAATTTGGCTGAAATGAATGCGGTTGCTGCAGACCGATCCACAAGAAAGGATTCCAGCAGAGTTCTTGTCCACCCAGGAAATTCGGCAGGCGGAATATGCTATAGTGCGTCGTGTTCAACAGGAGGTTTTCATCGACGAGTGGAAGGCACTTTCAAAAGGGGAAGCTGTTTCGAGAAGATCTCCACTTCGATGGTTTAATCCATACATTTCCGACGATAACGTCATTAGAATTGGAGGGCGACTTGGTCATTCTGTAGAGCGAGAGGATACGAAACATCCGATGGTGCTTCCAGCACGGCATAAGTTCACCCGAATGGTCCTCCAACATTATCATCTGCAGCTGATGCATGCTGGTCCGCAATTATTACTAGGAGTTGTTCGCCTACGATTCTGGCCATTGGGTGGACGAAGCGTTGCAAGAAACATTGTTCACCAATGCTTGAAATGTTTTCGGGCAAAACCTACACCAATTCAGCAGTTCATGGGGGAGCTGCCAGCGCCAAGAGTCACCGTGTCTAGGCCATTTTCGCAGACCGGTGTAGACTACTTCGGTCCGTTTTATGTAAGACCCGTTCCCCGACGACCGGTAGTCAAGGTATATGTTGCAGTTTTCGTTTGTCTTTGTACCAAAGCGGTTCATCTAGAACTGGTGACGGACTTGAGCACAGACCGATTCTTGCAAGCTCTACGACGTTTCATTGCTAGGAGAGGAAAATGTCAAGACCTGTATTCCGATAATGGGACAAACTTCGTTGGAGCCAGGAACAAGATGCAGGAGTTCTTGAACCTGTTACGGAGCTCAGACCACCGAGAAACGGTCGTCAAGGAGTGCGCAGAAAAAGGAATCCAGTGGCATTTCAATCCGCCCAGTGCACCACATTTTGGAGGACTGTGGGAGGCAGCAGTACGGTCAGCTAAAACCCATTTGATCAAGGTCGTGGGAGAAACACCGTTGTTGACCGAAGATTTGACCACACTTCTGGTACAGATTGAAGGTTGCCTCAACTCACGACCGTTAACGCCGATGTCCGATGATCCCACTGATTTTGAGCCTCTGACGCCTGGCCACTTCTTGATTGGCTCCTCATTACAGTCGTTCCCCGAGCCGAATCTGGAAAGCCTCGCATTGAACGGCTTGACTAAATTCCAGTTAATCCAACGGATGATGCAGGATTTTTGGAGAAGGTGGCGAAGGGAGTATCTGTGCCAGTTGCAGGGCAGGTCCAAGCGCTGGAAGCCAGCAATTAATATCGAAGTTGGGAAATTGGTTGTTATCTGGGATGATAATTTCCCACCGATGAAGTGGCGAATGGGACGGATCGTTGAACTGCATCCAGGAAACGATGGAGTAGTGCGTGTTGTAACGCTGAAAACGGAAACTGGTACAATGAAACGTCCAGTAGAAAAACTGTCTTTGTTGCCTATCCACGACGTTGACCAGAACTAGCAATCATCAGCGTAGACCCAAATCCTTCCCTTCCCGTTCCCATTAGAAGAGGATTTTCATTTATTTTCAGAAATTAGGAATTTCAGGGTGGGTGAGGAATGTTTGAGACTAACATCTGCCCAACCTAGCTACATCCTCGTACTGGCTATGCACAATTGTGACCTACTTCCAACGAGTTTGCAGCATCGCTTATTGTGTTCTCATCTACACACCGAGCAGAGGATAGATGGTCATCGATCAAGCCAGACGAGAGGGATTAGATCGTTTCGCTTGTATATAGGCTGCAGTGGTGAGCAATTCAGGAGCGAGAACAGGAGCGGTCACTCTCATGGACCCGAGCGAAAACATCGAATGAGTGGCGATCGTGGTTAGAAGATGACCAGTGGATATTTTTGCATTAGAAACCTATCGACCACCGACCGTGTGTGGAGTCCGCGCGGGCAATTTTAATCTGTTTTTGTGTGTTAGAATTTAAGCCAATGTTTAGTTTTAAGGAATAAAAATCGTTGTTATTGGTAAAATAAATGTAGTGATGTAACTGTGGTTTCCGTAATTCGTCGCGTGTGTAATTTAAGTGAAAAAAAAGGCCCTGTATGCAACTATAGGATAGATGCTACATTCCTTGCATCTCCATCCACCGACGAGTGTTGGGAAGCTTTCCAACAACCCACATCGAAGGCAGAGGTAATTTGGTTCCCCAACAATAGTTGATATTTGCGATTTTTTTAGTCCAACTTTTTACCTTGACAGCACAAAAAAATTGTTTTAACGCTTACATTTTTCTTACAATTAGAGGAAATAACTGAAGATTTACGCTATCTTGTTCCAATATTTTTTTTAAATGAAAAAAATCAAACTTTTGCCGATGAAATATTTTAAATCTTACAGATTATGAAACTAGAGGTCCCAAACTATAATCTAGGAAATAAAATTTACATTCACTTTGAATAAAAGTCGCCTTTAAACAAAGCGTGCGGAGCTTATGAATGCTTTTTTTAATGGGTCTAATTTGGGATTCGATCCTCGACTGTTGGAGTGTGCTGCTGCCGTTGTCTTTGTTCAATTTCACTGGTGAGTGAGAGAATAAGAAAAAGTCCACCATTTTTCACACATAGACTGACAATTACATATGAGATTTCTCCATAGGAGTAAAGAGTTACAGAGCTCTCGTCAACGATTGAACCCAGACCCTTTGAGATGAGAGGCAATCATAAAAGCAAACGTGTAGTGGACTGAAGAGAAAGAGCACGTATTGATATAGTTTTTGTTTTCACGACTTATAGTAAATGAAAGACGACTGCACAGAAAAAAAACTAGTTGTAGTACATCCAAACAGCTGCTCAGAGGTTATTCCGCTGGTTGTGTAATACCAAAGATTATAAATGAACAAGATGTCCCATATATTATTTCTTAGAATAATCTAGTGGATACACCCACCCTATAAGATCGTGGCGACGTCTGGTGAGAGCACATTGAAACATTCGAGAAAAAGTTCACACAAACAAGCAGGCATCATAGTGTGCGTGCAACCTTTTTGACAGTCAACAGGTTGAAAGTTTGTTTTGGTTTGAAGTGGAAGTGATTTCAAGTGTCCCATTACTTAGTGATTAAATGGCATTTAACTAACCACCAAAACCGGAATGTTGAAGAGCAGCTGGTACGACCACATTAATTTCAAGCAAGGTTGCAAAGACTCATTTCAGCTAAAATAATGTTTTTCGGAATAATAAAACCAAAAGATGGTATGATGGCATCCCGAAAAAAAATAACAACAAAAATACAATAAAAAACAATGTAACAATAAGACGAAAATTATTGTCTTAACAATGATTTACATTGTTACGTCTACAATAAATTTACCTTGATTTATGTTGTACAAAACAGTAAATTTCATGGTAAATGGAAAATTTACAATAAAAAAGGGGGGTTGTTAAGTATCTTAACAATGAAATTTTCGAGATTTCCCCATATATTTTTTTTTCAATACCATTATATATTATTGTTATTTTACTGTTGGTTGGCGAATTTATTGATTAAAAAAAATAACAGTGTACTTTAAAGTGTATGTGTTGGCTTGACAGATCTACTTTATCGACTTTAAAAATAAATCGAAAAAATAAAACATCGCCCCGGGAAGGGAGGGGGTGGGTGGTGGTATGTCTGTTACGGGTGAGTCCTTTTTTTACTGGTTATGGATTGAGATTCGATCCGGAACTTGTGAGAATTGGAGGCCAACATCCCTGCACTCGATCTCCCTAGGTCACGTCTCTTTGGTGGTTGAGCGTCGTTGATAAGCTAATGCATTCGACTGGAGAGAATCGCCCATGAAATATGCTTCCACCTGAGAGTTCCTTCCTGACATCTTAGCGGTGGAATTTTTTATTATTATTGTATGATTATTGACTGCACGGAAAAGGTCTGCATTAAGCGGGATTTAAATAAGGCAGGTGAGTTGAATTCAACTCAAACCGATCTGGTCGTAGGCGTTCAACTCTGGGGGGGGGGGGGACGTGCTGTCAAATCAGCCTACTGATCATCTTGTATGAAACTGGTTCCAAACGTAAACAAACGCTGTAGGTTTCTTATGGCTTGTTTACGTTTGGAACCAGTTATGCGAGGTAGGCGACGATTGTTCGTATTTGACAGCCACCTCCCTCCCCCTTGGTTCAACTGACTTGGCAACGAATAGAGCCAAACGAACTGTCAAAGCAAGAGCCATACGAGCAGCGCCTATCTTGATTACATTGGCAGTGTTGCTGACCCTCTCATAGTCTGCATGCTTCAATCAGATTTATTTTTATTGTTCGTGAAGTAACCCACAATGAAAACACACCAATATTTAATGTAACAACAATTTTTATTGTAATAGAGTTGTTCATTATTGTTCGTGATCGAATCATGTTAACAATAAAATAAATGAAAAATACAATAAAAATCATTGTAACAACATTTTATTATGTACATTCATTGTACATCTAGGTGGCAGTTTTGCCGTTTTCGGAAGGGTACAACATTATAACAATCATTTTTATTGTCGACAATAAATATTAATGTTAGAGCATTGTTTCCACTGAAAATTTCACTGTAATTTTTTTTTCGGGATGTTTTACTTGTAACTTACAAGAAGAGGTTACAAAGTATGCGTTGGAAACATAAAACTTGTAAATTTTGCTTTCTATGAGTCACAATCAGCGATTTGCTGATCGCTGAGTGAGTGAGTGAGTGAGTGAGTGAGTTTGTGAAAAATCGCTGATTGTGACTCTCATGAAGTGGAATAAACAGGTTTAATATTGTCGTTCAAGTTGGACACCGGAAAACCCACACGCGATATTCGATTTTACCCTCGTTCTGTACGTTAAACATAACGTCGGACATAGTGCGCTGAATAGCGCATCATTGTGCAAATACAGCGCACTATGTCCGACGTTATGTTTAACGTACAGAACGAGAGTAAATTCAATTGGCGCGTGTGGGATTTTCCGGTTTTCAACTGAAACGATAATATGTCAAACACATTCTTTGCAACCTCTTCTTGTATCCTACCAATTCAAAATTTGATCATGGCATCTAATTATTTCATAATTTAGAAAAACATTGTTTTAGCTGAAATGAGTCTTTGCAACCTTGATTTCAAGTAGCAACGGAACACGAGCAGCCTCGAGGACACTACTACCATAGAGGTAACTCTAAGACCACTGGGTACCACCATAGAGGTAACTCTAAGACCACTGGGTCCCGAAGAAAATCATTATTATTTTTGGCTCACTCAGTACCAGAACAACGGTCCCAAGCAGTCCCAAGCTATTTCACTCACCCCTGCATGTTCTGCATGAATCCACACACCCCTGATGTTATCTGTCAAACTTTCATAGCGAATCAAAACAAACATAGTGTAGTAATAGAATTTCAACTAGAATAGGGTACGTTAATCGTTTGCTTGGGACCAATAGGCTACTAAAGCCAATTTAAAATCGTTAGTTTCGTATTGATTGTTGCTACTACTGGCATGAAAAGGATATGATGGCAGTCTAATCTGAATTGAAAGATAAAAATCAATAGTGATCTCCATCTCCATCCATATCGATTATAACTGTTTGATTTTCAGGAACGATAACGATCATGGAACTATTCGCAACTATGGTGATGATGTGTGGTCAAAAACAAAGCGCTTCCTGTATTCCCAGAGACATTGCAACACGATACCGTTGGCGATAAAAGATGAACTAGGCTATGTTGGAGATTACACTGTTGACACTGTTGATATGCACGACTCACTGTAACCAGATGCCGAAAATAATAGTCTACATAAAATTCTGAAGAAAGATGTCAAAAGTTAGAAAAAAGAGGATAGCAAATAAACATCTGATGCGTCAAAATAGATCAGCACAGTAAGATTAACATGATTTGGTGATGCATCTTGGAAAACTCCCATAGTACTACCGTTTCAGCATAACAATGACGAGTCAAGGTTTAAACCTTTAGGTAATGTAAAGGTGAATATGTCATGATAAGCAAATCGAATAACCAAAATAGCGTAAATGAGAAACATATTGTGAATAAGAAAAAGATCATTTTCTTATGTTGTATGTTATTTGAAATGCTATGCAGCTCAAACATTGAGTCAATCAGTAGCAGCAGGTTTGCGTTCCTATGTTCATACAGGAAAACTTCCTAAAGACTGTTTGGGCACTGCGATATATTGCGAGCAGTTCGATATTTTATTCGATGTTGACAATTCCTCAACATTCAATGAAACGAAAGTAAGTTTAAAAATATAAATTGCAAAATGATTAATAACTATTTATAAATTCTAGGAACTCAAACGGCCTCTTCAGGAGCATACGAAACATTTGGAATATTTACAGAGCATGAATAAATCCATTGAAGAACTGTATTTCATTGACAAACGATGCAAATCAATTCAAGACGTATAACAAAAATTCATAAGAAAGATGACAAGATCCTAATATTTGATTTATCCACAGGAAAATAAATTCAAGCAACTACCAAAACAGTCACGAAAACCGTACTGTTTAGATGGATGGATACTTTACATATCAGCTTTAACAATGCTCTGGGACGAGTTACACGAAATCTATAAATTTTCGTTCCTACGAACTAGAAATTTGTCTCAAGATTGCTTGGAACACTTTTTTTTCCATAATAAGATGGAAAAATGTAAATAATAATCATCCAAATGCATCGCAATTTATGTCAGCATTCAAGTCAGTAGTGATCAACCAGCTACTACTTCCCAAAAAAATCGGAAACGTCGAAGCGGACTTGGGAAAATATATTGTCAACCGGGAAGAGATCCAACAAATTAACTTCTCGAAACAACATATTAATCGTCCAGAGTATACAGGAAAAAAAGAGCCATTTCCATCACAAACCTGTGACATAAACCAATTATCGAACATTTATTGGACTACAGGATGGGTATGCAGTACTTATAGTGCTGCTGAATGTCTTAAAAAAATTGGATCAAATCCTGAACAGAATGATACTTCATTTTTAACTGATTTCAAACAGTACACTCCTCAATCAAAGTTGGTGAGACCTGGTAAAAAAATATTTTTGTACTTCCAAGGTATTTGTAGATTGTTTGATTTGCATTTCATGGAACTCTTGAAGCTCGGTCCAGTGGGCGTAAAAACGGAATTAATGGACATAATCCAGACTCAGTTCAAGTTTCCTTCTGTAGAGATGAGCGATGATTTTGAAGAGGAGTGTGTTGTTGAAGAAATCGAAAAACAACTTCTTGAAGTATTATGTCAATCGTGCTGCCTAAAAATTACCGAAAAATACTTAAACATGATGATTGGATGCAAGCTTTCCGAAATGAATAACACATTCAAAATAGAGAGTGATAATAAGGAAAAATCTAAAAAAAAAAAACGAAAAATCAAAGAAGCTCAACATTAATACATTATCTTCATTGAACAACTAGATAGAAAAGAACCAGAAAAGAAACAATAAAGATGTGTGAATGTTTTTACTCAGTTGATTATTACTTTTACTTCAAAATAAACATGATTTAAAATTGAAACATTTGAATTTGGCGTTTTTATATTCTCACCACTCTTAATAAATGATTGATAAATTGATTTTACAAATAGTAATAAACATCATCATAACAAACATTCTAACACAATGAACCAATTACATTTTTATGATTCTAATACCCCGTTCACATTACAGCCTATATCACGTAATATAGGCTGTCTTGCAATGAGCACTCATACAACATAAGAAAATGATCTTTTTCTTATTCACAATATGTTTCTCATTTACGCTATTTTGGTTATTCGATTTGCTTATCACGTCAAAAAGGTTGCACGCACACTATGATGCCTGCTTGTTTGTGTGAACTTTTTCTCGAATGTTTCAATGTGCTCTCACCAGACGTCGCCACGATCTTATAGGGTGGGTGTATCCACTAGATTATTCTAAGAAAGGGACATTTTGTTCATTTATAATCTTTGGTAATACCTATTACGTTGTACGACGTACATCGATTTGTTTCGTATGCACCAGATGAATTTCTGGTGAAGAATGCTCGACAGCAACCAGGGATGGAAATTCAATAACATAGTCGTGTTTCATTGGCAAATGAAATGGATAACCGGGGAATAGTGAAGAGTGAGAAGTTATTGCGAAATTTACATTACATTACACGTATTGAATAACCCTGAGAGAAAATTTGTAGACCCAGACCTGCAGACCTCACGGGGATTGATTGATTTCAGTTCCATAAAACAGTCGATTTCTTATTGTTTGCACATATGTTGTGTTTTTATTCATAAATCATTTTTAATTCAGTCAATTGGTTCAATATATTTTAAAAGTAGGAATTTACAAAAACATGTAAACTAGTGATTTGACTTAGTTCCTTCTTTTCTTGTTGCAATTATTTATATGTTTGTTCGAATACTTACTGTAACATATCGTACGTACTAGGGTTGTTAAAATTAAGTATGGATCACAATACTTTACTTTTACCGTTTTTAACCAATAATCCATGACAAGCGTAACCAATATATTGCTATCACAGATGGCAATATATTGGTTACGTTTGTCATGGATTTTTTTTGCTAACTGTTGTAGAAAGAGCGGGTATCACATCAGACTGTGTTCATGATAAATTATGCTCAATGCTGTCATGGGTTACATTATCGTGTACATTCTACTGAGTATGTGTGTCTACAAAAATATTCCGTCATTATTGGCTGGCTACATTATATTTCGTTTGAACAAGTTTTTTTTTGTATATAAACAAATTACTGAAGAGGCGAAATTAATTTTATAAATTGACTCACAAAATTTGATTATGGCAGTGGAATTAACAAACTATGAGTACTAACTTCCTAGGTCCAACATACTTCAAACAGTTTTTTTCTCTGATAATAAAGTTTGTATGCATTAGGAAAAATTTACACCGTGTTTCCAGGCCAAAAATAACCCCAATGAACTAGGAAGGTTAAACGAGAAAAGAAGAATATGTCAAAAATGACTTATTCAAGTTTAACAATGGTGTCATTGTAGTAATCAAAATAAACCATGACTTGATCTATTCTCTTGAGAGTTTAAATAGATATAAGGGAGATATACTGGCGGTCATGGCAAGTCCGTTCTATAGCACAAATCAGCAGCAAGCCGAGAAAAACGCGTCGTATGCGATGGGACAGCCTGTTTAGCTATTTTTCCAAACATTTCCAAGACAAAGTTGTTTTTATTTTTGTTAATAGAGTTTATAATGACACGATTTTTAGCCGAGGGCGTCACAAAAAAACAAAGTTGTTGAGTTCATCCAGTTTTATGAAAATATGGATGATTAGCTTCTATTTCCATTGGAAATATATCGCCAGATGACAAAATGACAAGCGATCAACGAGCCAAATAATAAAGCTCTGACGTATGTGAATTGCGCAAGTATTAGTGGAGAACTTTGGGTAAGTTCAAAGGTTTTCTTGCACTAATACTTATAATTTACTCAAAGTACTGCACTAATACTTGTGCATTTCACAAACGTCCGAGAAGTCTATGCGATATAGCTTGCTCGGAAAGGTAGAAGGAAAGAACAAAACTGTTTGCAATCTGCTTCACAATATACGGCAGGAGATCAAGCTATGTCGACAACCTTGTTTTGTCTTTATTATTGGTTGTTTTCTGTATTTGAATTTACTGGTTTTGACAAAAACACAAATGGACCGACTTGTGATGAGCGGCAGTATAGTCGAATATAAATAATAGCCATGCACAGGAAAAATTCCACCATCTATATAAGTAAAAAGAATCCTGCATAGCAGAACTCAATGAATTTAAACTTGCCTCAGTGTGGGTTTTATACAAACATTGAATTTAACGTATAAATGTAAGAGGATACATCCGCACTGATTTGTGATTTGGGCGTACATGCATTTTGTAAACAAACACGTCAATCGTCGATATCTTGCGAATAAAAGCACAATCTAAAAAATTTACACCACAATCAGGTAGAGGAATGATTCCTCTACACAGTGAGACAACATAAAAAAAGTGGGACATAACCATTGGCGATGAAACTATTGAGTGTAACATTCTTCATTTATTGAGTACTTTATTTGAGTGTTAGAAATTATTGCTTAATAAGGTTTTACATTCAGATAATTTTATTTTATGTTTTGTTAAAATTCAGAGTCGTTGTTATAATAAGAGTCCCGCCAAGAGAAAATGTTGCGAACAAGCAACACTGTTTGTGATTTATTTTTCGTCAGAGTAAACGGCAACCAGATTTTTTGCGTTAGCATCGGATGAATTTCATTCAGAAGTGAAAAATTTCATGTCGATTACGGAGCTTCTGGGAGACAAAAACAATTGTATAATCCTGGAGACGTGGGACTACTCTCCACCTAAGATCATATGGGCATTAAATAAACCAACCAAAGAAAATCTGAACCCCCACACTGTGGTCCCGCGCTTCAATGAGCTCATTAGAACAACGCTGATTGGATACGAGCTCATTTATACGGATGATTCAAAAACAGCGATCGAAGTCGGCTATGGCGTATTCGGCCCCAACCTAGATACCAGCAGAGGCTTTCCTAAGCCTGCATCGATCTTCTCGGCTGAGGCAGCTGCCATCTTCTCAGTCGTTACGGAGTCCAGTTTTTCCTGGAAAGCCATCATTACCGATTCGGCCGGTGTATTGAAGGCCCTTGAGAGTCCGAAGAACCGACACCCGTTGGTGCAAGCAATCAGAATGGCTTCGAACAGTAAAACCGTATATGTCTGGGTTCCCAGCCACTACAATATCAGTGGAAACGAGGCTGCGGACAAGCTGGCAGCGATCGGCAGATCGAAAACCTCAGTGGAACCGGAAGTTCCTGCAGCGGATTTAAAAGTCTGGATCAAAACGATCATCGCTTCAGCATGGAACAAGGAATGGGCTAATACCCGAGACCCTTTCTTGCGCAAAATACAAGGAGATACGAAATGCTGGTTCGATACCAAAAACTGGAAGGACCAGAGAGTACTGTCCAGATTACGCTGCGGCTGACTAATGACTGGCAGTAGTCACTTCGCGTCTACCATAGGTGAACAGTAAAAAGAGGTAGCAAACTATACATTCTCTTTCTAAGAAAACGATGTGCAACGGAATCAATTTTGTGTCGATTAACCACTCAGCTTGATTTTTGAGCGTTGTGAATAGTTTTGCAATATCAAAGGAGCTTGGAAAATCAATATCAAGCATGATATTTTGTTTCAATATCACGCGTGATATTGCGAGCGTATGAGATTGGAACAATATAATTTGATTGATGATTTTGCCAACACTAATTTAAAACTGCACATTTGCTAAATTGAACAAATGGCTACCTCTTTATTTAAAGGATTTACGTCCGTTTTTATAAATTTTATCACTATCTAACACACCTCTTAATGTATCTTGCACGTTAGTAGGTATTAGCAGCTAATCTCAACGTTATTTTGTTCAGCAACTCTCACTCAGGTTTTTTTTTACACGGGGGATACGTACCGTGTAAAAAAAAAACTACGAGATTTTGATTTTTCACATGCTTAAAATTTAAAAAAAATCGGATTTTGATGCCATTTGTAATTATAGCATGCCATGGTCCATATAGACATATTTTAAAATTTTCTGTATTTACACCAAAAATTGTGATTTTTTTCTAAGTATGTCATTCGATTACCTATATCTTGAAACGGATAATGTGATTGGAATCAAGTCGATAGGTTGTATCGTTTTTTCGAGAAATCTTTAAAAACGTACCGTGTAAATCGCGAAAAACCGTGTACATTTTCAAATAAAGTACCTCAATGTTTTGTTACGTTTTTCTGTTTTCATGACCATTTTTCCAAGTATTTACATTCGGGTGGGTTTCACAATGCTCTTTCAGGTCCACAACAACTGGGAAAATTTGAACGAACTTGGCTATAATCTCGATTTGCGGGAGAATTTTAAATATTGAATGGGAAACGGAACCAAAAATCCAAATATTGCTCAAATTTCACCAAAGCTCGGACATAGCTTGAGAATACTACAGTAAACAACTTTGTCTTAGCCCCTCTGATGAAAAAAAACTTAACTCAACTTAACTTTGTCTTAGCTGCAACCTATCCTTGGAAAAATAGCCATGAAAACAGCAAAACGTAACAAAATATTGATGTACTTTCATAGGCATCCTCTAAGAACCTCATATGAATTGTATTTGTAACAGTAGGGTATGAGTTGCTGAACGAAATTACGTTGAGATTAGCTGCTAATACCTGCTAACCAGCAAGATACAACCCCTTAAAAAATAGTGCTATGAAAATATAAATATAGATTTAAACGGAGAAATAGCGATTTACCTTCTAAAGCATAAATGTGCAGTTTAGGGGGCAGTTACAATTTTGTAGAACATTGAAAAAATAGGAAAATTAAAACAAAAAAGTTATGATAAAAACACTTTTTAACCGTACTCCGTACAGCATACCGTTTGTACTCCATTTTCACCATATAAATTCGTTCATTGGGAGATAGAAAAAAGTTTCTTAAAATGAATCTACAATATTTTCATAGACGTTCATCGATTTTAAAAAGACATTTTTTTATCCTCCTTAAGAAAAAAAAAATCCCCACTTAAATAAAGTACTCACAAAATGCAGAAAAGCAGAAACATTCTAGAAGACATCAAAATGCTACACTCAATAGTTTCGTCACAAATGGTCATATTGTTCAACTTTTTTTTTTATTTCGTCCCCTTTTTATGGCACAGACCTGTTGGTTCATATTTGATAATTTCGTCCCATTTGGAATAGTTTGTTTGAGAGAATGAGCTTTTATCCACGAGAAATCGACAATTGACCTTTTAAGGGCTTACAAAATCATGTATGCCCTAATCACGAATCAGTCTGGACTTGTTTGCAAGAGCAAGCAATGAATAATATGATTGTGTGGTTTGATGTCAGTTCATTTTGTTTTTCAACCAGGAACTTGCGTTCAACGATGATTTTACTTGTCATGTGAACTTGTAACAAGAAGTTCTAAAATATCCATAGGGGAAATAGTTAGTGGATGGCAGCCATAAAGTTGAGGTTGCCAAATATTTGCATGAGTACCAACCATTATATATGTTCCCCATGATCTGTGAAAAAACATAGAACACTACAGTGTTAAAATGCAAAGAGACTACCTACATTCCAAAGGCTTTTGTATGGCTGATTCCATTTCATTAGTGTATGTTCTAAATTTACTATCAGTCAAATTATTATTTACATAAACGCTTTGCTTAACCTATGGAAAACCAATTATAAAAAAAGAGCTAGATGTACTAGGTGATAAGACAACGACAAAATGTTTGATTGCTCTTACGACTACTTATTTACATTATTGTTTTTGAATACACATACGTCTTCGTTTATTATATTTTCTTCAATACAGAGCTTTTAAACTGACCTTGGACGAGCTTTATGTTGTTTTCTTTTCAATAAATGTAATAAGAATAAAAACGAAAAAAAAACAACTTAATCGAGATCCATTCCGATACGGAAATCGAACTTAGCGAGGCTCGTTTCGTAAATATTTTTGACACACGAGTGCTCTGATATGACAAATTATTGTTTATAAGTATATAATTTATTTATTTTTATCTTGCAATTTATAACAAGCTACTTTCATTGAGTAGTAATGTTTAAACATCACCCTCACTACAAAGCTGGTATGCTCGGTCAGTTTGATAAATAATTCAACATTTACAATTTCATTTCTTTGTTCAATCAATGACCAACAAACTAAAATTTAATAAATGTAGTTGTTTTTTTTTTGGACGTGCACTAGAAACTTAAATCTATATGAGTTCATGAATTTTTTTCTGTAATTCCAACGTTTTTTTTTTTAAATATCGATACTAAATGAGAATAATTTAAGGTTTGATAATTACAAAAATATGCCCTGAACGTATTTTCCCTTCAGGCAATAAGCGGGAGATCTATTATAAAAAAAGATAATTTTAAAAAATCCTATAGTTCTATACGTGTGGCGGACTGCACGGCCCAACAATCTGCCGATTTTGGGAGCTACTCCATCGGGTATTGCATAAACTGGCATCTGAGAGCACTGATATCCGCTTCTCAAGCAGCATTTCTTTGGTACTGGTCGCTGCTGCCGATGAGGTAGTAGGAGCAGCCGAACTAGCCTGGCCAACTGCCAGTCCGACAGACGATTGTCCTCCTCCTGCACCGGCGATCAGTTGCGACGCACGTTGCATCACCATGGGATCGGTGTTGAGTTGTTTTTGTGATTTGGCACGTTGCAAAGTAGTAGGAACTGTGGTTGCTTGATAGCATTGTTCGCTACTAGCAGAGCCTGTCTCCGCTCCATATCCGCCGGGTATCCCACCGTACAAACTACTGTTCATCAGGCATCCCTCGTCTAAACTAGCAGAGGCAGCCATATTGTTGACGCTTTTGTCCCAGGTATTCTTAATCATGTGATGTGACGTATCCAGGTTGGTTAGAGCGCTGTTACTGCTCCGTTTCGATGATGACATGGAATTATGGTGGTGGTGCGTCATGTGCGAGGCATTTTGTTCGTTCTGTTTGCGAGCTTCAGCATCGTCTTTCTCCTGTTCACGCCGGCGTTTACGTTTCATGCAAATAACCACAGCTGTCGCAATGAATGCAGCCAGTGGTGTCGCGACAGAAAAAATAGCAATCAACACAATTTGTCCATTGCTGAGACCATCACTTCTGCCACTTTGCGCTTCGTGGTATCCATTTGCAACATGAGCCGAAATGCTACCTGTAGCCGAATCCCAACTAGCTGATAGAGCTTCTTCCTCACAAGTTGATCCTCGAAAGCCCCCAGCGCAGACACATTGAAAACTGTTTACTCTGTTGACACATGTGCCACCGTTCCTGCAGGGCGTGGAACTGCATTCATCAACATCGACGCTACAGTCTTTTCCCGTAAATCCAGGCCGACATTTGCAGCGATAGTCGTTGTTTAGATTAATGCATGTTCCTCCGTTAGCACAAGGCTTTGTCAGACAAAGATCAACCTTATTTTCGCACAGAGATCCTATAAATCCCGGAACACACTGGCATCGGAATTGATTCACCATATCCACGCAGGATCCACCATTCATGCACGGGTTGCCTTGGCAGTCGTCGGTATTAATTTCGCATCGAATACCACTGTACCCACTCGGACATTGGCACTTGAATGTGTCGCCATTGTTGAAGCAAGTGCCACCATTTTCACAAGGACTTGGGTTACATTCGTCGACTTGAACTTCGCACGCAGTGCCACTATAACCCACAGGACACTCGCACTTAAACCCCAAATTCGTATCCTTACACGACCCATGCAAACAGGGTTTTTCCGCACAAGTAACCGTTTCTTTCTCGCAATGCGTTCCAATCCAACCCTTCGTACAGTCACACCGATAGCCGCCTCGACTATGCTTCTCATCGTGACATATACCTCCATTCAGACATGGCATAGCGGCGCAGTCGCTGATGCGAGTTTCGCAGTCGGTGTCCGTATAACCCGGAGGACATTTGCAGGTGTACGAACCCTGGCCAGTGTTGAAGCAGGTTCCTCCGTTCTGGCATGGTTTGTGGTTGGTACAAAAGTTCAAATCTTGATTGCAAAATAAACCACCCCAGCCTTCGTTACACAGACACTCCCACGGTTTCTTGCAGGTTCCGTGCATGCATCCCGGGTAAGGTTCGCATTCATCACAAAGAGCTCCTTTCCACCCGGATTGACATCTGTAGGAAAGAACAAGAGAAGAAAATGTTTAATGATTAGGCAAAAGTATGTCTGTAGTGTATGTATTATATATTTGAAGGTAGAGGGTTAAGGGTATGCATTTCGTATCCGCGGAGAAAAACGAAATGTTGACTTTTTACTTAAAACATTTCTATATTTCATTTTCACTATAAAGTCTGGTTCAAAGCAAATTTGATATCCTGATTCAATGTACAATTGTGCCCCTGGTAGTCGGAGCCAGAAACTATGAACAGCATTTTTTTTAACTATTCTTTGACGAGTAACTGGTGAAACTATCTGCACATTTTTATCTAAAGCCTGGTACGCAGCTGAAAAGAAAACAGAAAAGTAATTTTTGAAGAATATTCCCAAAAGTAAATTTGACAGCTTGACATGAGATGTCTTTTGCTAAATTTTGAGATCATAGGGGGTGTCGTCTAATTTTAAAGTCAACAATTATCAGTTTTTATGTTGTTAAAATGCATCCAAACCATCATTTTTACAACAAACGTTAAAATTACCTAACGGAATAATTGATCAGAACATTATTCCGCAAGGAAAGTGAAATTGCATTCAGAATGCGCTACCTTCATGTCACGATACTAATGTAATCAATCTTTCCTTTACCGATTTCTTTTGAACTGCGTACTGGGTCAAGAAATGCATTCCGTGTCCTATCCCGTAGCACGTAAAAACGTCATTACTTTTCAGCTGCGTACCAGGCTTAAGACAGAAAACTTTTATCTAGTCAAGATCAAGGTTGCAAAGACTAATTTCAGCTAAAATAATGTTTTTCGGAATAATAAAACCAAAAGATGGTATGATGGCATGTTTTACTTGTAACTTACAAGAAGAGGTTACAAAGTATGCGTTGGAAACATAAAACCTGTAAATTTTGCTTTCTATGAGTCACAATCAGCGATTTGCTGATCGCTGAGTGAGTGAGTGAGTTTGTGAAAAATCGCTGATTGTGACTCTCATGAAGTGAAATAAACAGGTTTAATATGTCAAACACATGCTTTGCAACCTCTTATTGTATCCTACCAATTCAAAATTTGATCATGGCATCTAATTATTTCATAATTTATAAAAACATTGTTTTAGCTGAAATGAGTATTTGCAACCTTGGTCAAGATGTTAAGATATTAAAAATGAATGGCACACTAACGCCACCTGATAAGTGAAATCTGAGCTGAACGGTTTACCCTAGAATAGGTTTAGTCCTTCCGAACAACAAGACAAAAACCTTTTATCTAGTCAAGATGTTAAATAAAATCAACTTAAAAATGAATGGCACATTACCGCTGCCTGTTGAGTAAATTCTGAGCTTAATTGTTTACCATAGAATAGGTCTAGTCCATTTGAACAATTTTGCTTAAGACAAGAACCTTCTGTTTAGTTAGGATGTTAAAATAAAAATGAATGGTACACTAACGCCACGTAGGAACACATATTAGTCCTTGTTACTTGTTATGCCTTGTTAATAGTGATAAGTCCTCGGGTTGCCTGCGTGGATCGAGGATAATCTTAAAGCAAGTAAAAAGTTAGTTAGGCTTCATCTATATTATTTCTAATCTTCTATTCATTATTCACAAGTTTAAAGTAGTTAAGACTAGGCTTCTGATGCATGGTCATGATCGGTGTCATTGCTTTTTTTTTATTAAGGAATCCAATTTTAAATGACAAAGGGGTGCACCTTTGGAGGGTTCTCTTACTCTTCGAAGGGTATAAAAAGCAGGACCTTTCAATTAGAATAGATCCCTTGCGATGAAGGCAAGAATGACAACTGTATCAAAACCGAATACTTCATCTTTTCACGATGGTGATGAAGTAATACGACATGCACTAAACTAAGGACACGGGATATACTACAACAGCTCATATATTTTTTCCTACGTTCGGAACATAAATCCACTGCAACCAGTTATTTGATCTATAGTGGTATACCCCGTATCCTTAGTTTAGTGCACTATTGAGAAATGATGAAATACTCGGTTTTGATACAGTTGTCATTCTTGCCTTTATCGCAAGGATCCGACTCTAATTGTAAGGTTCCGCTCTGTATACCCTTTGGAATGTTGGCGCACCCGTTGGCGCAATAACATCGATAATGACCATGCATCAGAATCCTTCAAACTAGAGAACAGCGAATAAAAGATTAGGAATCACGTAGGGGAATTTACGTATTCTTGGCAACCTAAGCAACGATCATCTTTCTATAGCCTTTTTCTCAAAGGAACGCATACATATGCAATACGATGCTGCACGCTGACGTTACGAATGAACGCGATGAACTCGTATTCATCAGTTTGACATCCAGTGGTGGTTTATTTACCTTTGCTTGTTAGTCGATTCAAGTGGATTTGAGGTTTTAAATAAAATTAATTAAAAGATATGATATCCGACTATGTTCGTTTGAAAAATATTCCTCTCCAAAAAATCTAAAAAAAAAACATTTAATATTTTTTTTAAATTTTTTATCCTAATTCCATGTAAACAAACCACTGCCAGCTGTCAAAATAATTGAGGTTAACCCGACAATTGTTTACAATCTTTTGCTGCCAGCTGCTCTAACAATTTCAGTCGAAAGACTTGTCAAAAACTGTTTTGAAACGCTTTTACAAAGCTCCAATCTTCTCTGGTGAGAGCAGGGGCCTGGCTGGCGGCCATGTTTTTGATGCTATCATCTGCTCTTGTCTTCCTGCTTATAATACGATTTTCCGTCCCTTTCCACCATGTATACGTCAGGCGGCCCGTGATGTTGTCTACTGTCAAACGTATAGGATTGATATAGGGTTGCCAGGCCCCTGGGTGAGAGCGACTATAGTGGGCAACATCTTTTTATTCGGCAACAGCTGTGCTTTCATCGGCAACTCGAAATCAGCAGCATTTTTTAGTGCCTGTGTTTCATTCCAAGAAAAGCGCTAGCAGGCATTGCTTTTTCTTAGTGGTTAAAATACAAACAAATTGAAGCTGAAAGCCTAAAGAATCGTTTGAATGCAATCAGCGAAGTGTTTTCGTAAGCGTTTCAATTTGCCGGTTGCCGAAAATAGTCTTTCATGCCGAAGCCGTCATTTCCCCTAGATAAAAAAATACCTACCTAACTCACTTTTTCGTTGTGTTTTGGTCAATCTCGGTCGGCAAAGCCGATTCGTATCACTATCAACAAGGCATACAAAGTAAAAGCTAATGTGTTCCTTTGATCAATTCTGTTCCCCTAATTTGAAGAAGTTCGTACTAGGCTTCGGTGGTAGATCTTAATGTCAGTATCGCAACACGAAAAGGTAATCTACTAGGTTACTGGGAATAGATCAACTTACTGCTCGCGGTGGTTTTACTGTTTATCCGAGAATAATTCTCGTCTATATGAACAACTTCAGGAACTTTCTATCTAAGGCAGGCCTGTCCAACCTTTCTAAAACTTGCTTTTTTGCTTGTTCGATGAACATGTTTAAAACTGCATTTTGTTTATTTCTCATTCATTCTGGTCTAAAACTCATAATGATGAATAAAATTAGACAAGAATGATATAATTGCTGAGATCAAGAGTTCACGTCCGGCCCGAGGGCCGCATGTTGGGCAGCGCCGATCTGTTCCATTTAGAATTTGGTCGTACAAAATGGCTAATTTATCGTCAGCTTTTCAGATGAATTTTAGAACTAGAGACGTTACAGTAATTAAATAGAAGCGGCCAAATATTAACTGGACTAGACTTTAGTCAAAAGTTAAAGCAAATTAAAAAGCACACTAGTGTCGCCTGGTGAGAGAATTATGAACTAAACTGTTTACTGCCCAAGACAGGAACGTTCTATCTAGTCAAGATATTGAGTTAAAGAAAATTAAAAATTAATTAACCTGGTGAATGAGTTCTGAACCGAAATGTCTACCGTAAAATAGGTCTAGTCCATTTGAAAAACTTTGCCGAAGACAAGAAGCTACATTCGATTGTTGTTAATGTTGAATTGTCCGCGGTTTCTAATAATGTATTTTTCATAAGCTTTAAAAAAAATCAAATTTGTAGAAATTCAAATTTCCAACGATAAAATAATAGGCTTAACATATTTTATACTATGCAAACTTTAATAAAGAAGAAAACATTGGATAAGTAAATGTATACATCAATAAATAAATGTTATGCATGCACATTATTATTTATATGAAATCGGTCTGCAATTCAGAGATTTGTTTATGTGTTTCCCATAAGTAGTGGGGAGAAAAGTTAGCAGCACATGTGATACTGATTACACTCTGCCTCTTTGTCGTTTGTCTTTGCTGATGTACATGCAAAAAAGCGACAGAGCATAAGCTGCAATTCCTGTTTTAGGAAGAAAACTAGTACTGCCTTCAAATAGCACTTATTACCTCGTTCAATTCGCATGGAATGTATGCACATGCGGACAGTGATGAAGAGCTGAGAAGTTATTACAACCGGATAGCTTTGATGCAATGGAATAGGTTAAGCAAGTGGCTAGTTTCAACTCTGTACTAGGCGTAGATATAATAAGTAAGTATTTTAGGTACCGTCAAACGGAGTGTGTTTGATCACTGATATTTCTCAATGTTTATCTTCTAGTGCAATATTTTTGTTATTGCAGAACGAAAGAATGAACATAAAAAGTATTATATCTGCACAAAAACATTGAGAAACCTCAGTGATTTCAATTTGACCCGGTTTTACGATCCTTTTTAGCTATGTGTGAACGTTATAAGTGATTCAGCATTGATTATTTAATCCTGTGACATTTACATTTACATTAACGAGTCTTATTTTATAGTTGGTGACTAGCTAAGCTTAGTCTATACTGAAAGCTTTCATTAGCTATTGATCAATTAAGCTCGTGGAATTTACTAGTTGGTTGAATTCTTCTGACGAAAAAGATCCATTTATAGTGTAAATTTAGTGTTAATGTCAAGTTACTCGTCACTCGTTCGAAAATCTTCTGCCCAACACAGTCTAAAAGAAAGCCAGATTAAAGGCGTGATAAATCTTTAAAATTGTATCATTTCTATCTTCAACCACGCTCAAGCCGTCCTCGCTTGCGCCGATAGCTCGATCGCTTGCTTGCTTTGTTTATTTCATTTTAATTTCTTTCGCAGATCCATAGTGTGAGTCAATTCGCAGGTCAACGAATATATAGATTATAATGTAAAGATACGACAAATCGTTAAAATCGATAAATCAATTTTAATGATCATTCAACAGAGAACTACGTTTTTCACTGTGCATGGGATCATCGAGTGTTTTCCCTGCTATCCTGTTCAGTTTTCATTTCGACATCTTCTGATTGTGCTCCGTTTCCTCTCATCTCTTTTGATCTGGTTATCAATATTTGAAGCGGCATAAAGCAGTGATTGCCGCTTTGTTACACAACAGGTAAACATGTCATGATTAGGCTCCACCGGTGCTCTCCTTTTATCTTGGGTTCTGCTGTCCTTCAACAAGTTTCCATTTTCTATTATTTATTTTTAATCTGCCATTCGTTCAAGACAGATGACTGAGATGCAAGGCTAGCGAAATTACATTCATAATCTGACATCAGCATCATTTATCAGCGTTTGGAGAGTATTAAAACTTGCTTTGCACTCTGGGATAATAATTAAAGGGAATAACTTCAGTGTAATGCGCTAGATTTCTTCAATTATGGGTCGAATACGATTAATCAATGATAGAAAATTGACAATCCTTAATGAAAACAAAAATTGGATGAACCTATCAAACGAAACAATTTGCGTCATCTTTCAAACTACTAAGGATTGTCAATTTCCTATTTGAAGAAATCTAGCGATCAGAATCATAAGTGCCTAACTGCAATGGCTAAAAAGCGAGAACAATACATCTCAGCCATTTGGCAGGTCTTCTGCTCGATTAAAATTAAGTTTTCTAAGGGAAGTCTAATACCCCGTTCACATTCCATAGGATTTCCAGTGAAAACTAGATGTATGAGACAGTCCAAGGTCTGATTGTTATGCATTCTGTTAGTAGGTATATGCTGCTACTGTGACGATGATGATGGTAAAGGCTGCAGGGTGGCCAGTGAATTTTCATTTTGAAATTCCCGGTTTTTTCCCGGTTTTCCCGGTTCGAATCTTAAAAATTTCCCGGTTATTAATATTCAACAAAAAACGAAATTGTACGCATTTTTAATAACGCGACAAACTGTACATTTTCGGAAATTATTTGTGGGGAAAATAAAAGCAAAATTACACAAAGTATTTTTTAAAGCTGAAAGTATAAATTCAACTCTATGAGTCACTTTATGTAGGGTTTACTACCCCATTTTCGGCCTATTAAGCACAACCCGGTCTTTCTTAATCTAGCGCAGTTTAGCACCAAATGGAATGTTATTATTACTGATGGCTTCCAAATTTATTTACCTTTCTGTACGTACCGTAAGATTTGATAAAGAGAAACCAATTGATGAGATATTGTCAAAAGTCTAACACTGCTTCTTGACGCCAAACTCGGCCAACGGATTCTAAACGCGGCCTAACGCATTGAAACGCCATTGAAACGCAAATGAATTCACTTCGGCCTACCGGATGAAGATAACAATTGATTCGGTCGGAGCGCTTCTTTTGTTTTTGTGAATTATGGGTGCAAACCTTCATATCACGCGTTCTCATTGACTTCGTTCGGTAGCTTATTAACTAAAGTATCGTACCAAACTCATAATTGACTTGTTAACTCTGAAATCATGGAATTATTTTGTGTTTTCTGCACGATAGGCCCAAAATGGGCGATTAGACCGAAGTAGTTCTCTACCCTACATATTCAAAAAAATAACAGAACAATCTATAGAATCTTGCGGACAAACCCTAGAACTTTTATTAAAAGTTAAAAGTGTTCAAAATGTTGAATTCAAACAAATAATAAGGAGGATTCCCACATAATTTTCGAAGGAGAAGTTCAGAACAGAATTCCAGAATTATTCTGACATAAAATCCTTAAAAATTGTTAGATGAATTTGGAGGGATTTTTGTGCAGAAGAATGCAAGTTCTAAATTAATTTCAAAACGAGTTGTGAAAAAAAAACGTTAAGAAAAATTCCTACGTGATTCTGAGGAGAATTGTATGGGGATCATGAAAAATGACAGATGAATTTTAAGAAGAATTTCAAGATAATTATTATGAAGAAACAGAGTTCTAAGAGTGTTCCGGGGATAATTTTAACCCTAGTATGAAAGATTCATTACAGAGCTTTTTGCATTGCAAAAAAATTGCTGATAATTAGAAGAAAATTCTTTAAAATACTCCAAGGGGTTTCTAAATAACATTTCGGAAGATTTCTGCTGCTTTGAATAGAGTTTAAAAAAAAAGTTTGAAACGAATTTCAAAGGATCGTTTCCGAACAGGTTTAAGGGAATTCTAAGAAGAATTACAATCAAATTCTTAGAAGAGGTTTCAAGAAAATTTCAATTAACGGAGTAATTTCTGGTTAATTTCAGAATAATCCCATGATAATTTAGAGAAGGATTCCAAGTTAATTCTGTAATTCATATCATGAGAATTTTGAATAATGAAAAATTAAAACCCCGAAATAGTTCAGTTTCGATTTTTACAAATATTTGTTTCCAAAGTCCAGCATCTTCAGCCCATGCACGACAAAAATCAATTTGAAATATTGCTGAGTGATTAAATTAAAAAAACAATAAGACGGGAAACTGAACAAAATGATGCAGCAAATAGAGCAAAACATTCATTTGGTAAAGAATCACTCTATTTTAATAGTTTATTTTGAAAATCTGTTGTAAAAATTTGTTCTTTGCATGGTTAATTTATTTTTCCCGGTTCTATGGTAGAATTCCCGGGTTTTTCCCGGTTACTTTTCAAATTCCCGGATATTTCCCGGTATTCCCGGTTTTCCCGGTTTGCTGGCCACCCAGTAAAGGGCACAAAACATACAATCACTCAGCTGAAAGTAATTTTCCGGACAACACTCCACTGAACATCTCTTTTACCCAGAATAACGTGCCTCATACCGTGGGAAATACTTCAAGAAGAGACGTGCCAAGTCGATAAAAATAACAATAATAAAATTGCATAGTGCAATGTAATAAGATCTAATGCGGTTCCTTCTTGATTTTATGTAATGCCTTATGTTGTTGAATCCTAAATATTCAACTTCCGATAACGATGTCTACCCTCAATAAAACACATCGTAGAATTCGGAGATTCTAGCGTGGAAAGACCGCAGTGTGTTATACCATAGAGGTAACTCTAAGACCGGAAGGTCTCGAAGAAACGTGCTCAACTTTTTGGCTCAGCTTTGGTACTCTCTTCGGTCCCAAGCTAATCCATTCACCCCTCGAAACATAGGAAAATCCGAGAACCCCTCATTTTATCTGTCAAAATTTCATGGCGAATAAAAAAAAACATAGTGTAGTACTAGAATTTTGACTAGAATGGGGTACGTTAATCGGTTTGCTTGGGACCAATAGGCTAGTCAAGTAGTGAGCCAATTTAAACCGTTAGTTTCCACCGGTTGGTTATATGATAGGGTAATCTGTCAATTGTTGCACAGCTAAACAAGAACTTTTTTAATTTTGTGTTCTAACGAGTTTGAAAACATTTTTGAAGTAGGAATTCCGCAAGTAACTTTTGAATGCGATTCATGAAGCATTTCCAGAACTCATCAGCAGCTTATATTCGTAAAAACTTCCTTATAAAGGATGACTAAAAGTAAATTGGTACACCCCTCGCGCGCCGCTAGCACGCCTCTAAATCGAAAATCGTTGACAATGGTTTGTTTACTCTCCTATAGAGAACAAATGGTGCAAGTTTGATCAGGTAGAGTAATTCGGGGCAAAAGTACGCATAGGCCTTTTTGAAATGTTCGAACATGAAAACCTGGCCACACTGTATGGGTTCGACACATCATTCGACCAGCTGATCACAGGTGTAAACATAAGTGATTTGAACGTAGTGGCGTGAAGTTATGAGGTAATTTGTGTTTTGTGCAGTTTTGATCTAATTTTCAACATTTTGGGGATTATGTTTATTGACCATTTAAAATTTAGAAAAAAATGGGTATAAAAATGCTAAAAATATCTTTACTCTATGATTGTTTGAGAGGTGCAGTCATTCCGTTCAAACAGTTTCATAAGTTTTGTAATAAATCGAATTATTGATAAAACTGCATGTGGGACAAAAGTACGCAGCAGGCGCGGGGCAAAAGTACGTGCAGGATGTCGCATTGAAATGGTTATGTTTTCGTACAGGAACTACAAGCGCAAAACCAGTCGGCAGAAATGCACTTCCCTAATAAACGGGTACCATACACTAATGATATCATAGATGGTGCGAGCATACCACATAAAGTTGAGATGATATCCCGAATTGGTGGTTAGGCGCTTCTTATGGTTATTGTTTATGCGGGTTCCCAGATGCTCGAAGCAGCTCAGCAAAGAGTCCGGGATGGCATTTCGAAGCGGCAGTTTGCGCTGAATCTCGGAATAACGGAAGGAGCATTGAGGAAAAGGTTGAAACTGGTGAGTAAAATCAAGTACCAAATGAAATTATCTTAACAGTGATAATTGAATTCCTGTAGGGATTTACCAATCAGCGCCTTGGACGGTTCATCCCAGTATTTACAACCGAGCAGTCTGAAGAACTTGCCAGGCACTACAAGGACCACGACAAGGCATTCTACGGTATGACACTCAACGATTTACGGAGCCTTGCGTTTCAGTTTGCAGAAGAAAATAACATTCCGCACGAGTTCGATCGGACTTCGAAGATGGCAGGAAGGGATTGGGCGTCGAGATTCATGAAGACTCACCATCTGTCTTTGCGAACGCCTCAACAAACCAGTCTGGCCCGAATCATGGGATTTAACAAGCAACAGATCAAGGCATTTTTCGCGAATCTGTCCAAACTGAAACAGCAGCATAAATTTCCTCCACACCGCCAGTACAATATGGATGAAACTGGCATGTCAACTGTTCCGAATTGTCCGCCGAAAGTCATTGCTAGTACAGGTAAAAAATCTGTTGGCAAAGTGAGCTCTGCTGAACGGGGAGAATTGACGACGGCTGTATGCGCTATGAGTGCATCCGGAAACTATGTAGCACCGGTTCTAATTTTCAAGCGGAAGCGGCAAAATCCACAGCTGTTGAATGGAGCTCCCCCAGGAACGATTATGCTTGTTACGGATACAGGGTACATAAATGGAGATCTGTTTTTGGAGTGGCTTAAGCATTTTCAAAACGAGGTGAAAGCGACGAAAGAAGACCCAGTTCTTCTGGTTATGGACAACCACAGCTCTCATAGGGATCTTCGTGCAATTCCCCCTCATAGCAGCCACAAAACACAGCCGTTGGACCGCTGCTTTTTCAAGGCCTTGAAAACCCATTTCTCAGAAGCCTGTAGCACCTGGTTGACGAACAATCCGGGTAGGGTCATCACACAGTACCAAATTGCAGAGCTGTTTGGCGTAGCCTATTGCAAATGTGCTACTGTGGACAAAGCTGTGACAGCATTCAAAACGTGTGGGATCGAGCCTCTCAACCCGGAGGTATTCAAGGACGATGACTTTCAACCGAGCTTAGTGACAGACATACCTCAAGCATCCAACGAATCTAACGCACATTCGGATCTGGCCTGCAAACCCTCCACAAGTTACGCTACACCGCAAGCAAATAAACGACAATTGCAAGCTGTATTACCAGTTTATGCAGCACCCGATCCACTTCCTATGAATACTGGTGAAGAAGATCAGCAAATGCGAGCTCTGGATCTAAGTAAGTCTGCAAAAGTATCTCCAGCTGAAATTCGTCCACTTCCTAAAAGGAAAGACGAAAGAAAGGACAAAAATCTGAAATACTTACCAGTACACCGGTAAAACAAAAACTGGAAGCTGTGCTTCACGAAAAACAGGAAAAACAGCAGCGCCCCAAGGCAAAATGTAAGCTTGCAACGGAGCAGCCAGCACCAAGTGCTAAGAAGGGAAAAAAGCAGAAGTAAGCCTCTGCTAAGCATACTGAATTCTCTTTTAATTTTGATGAATTTTTAACATGAACTTCTTGATTTTCGTTTTCAATAAAATGCAATAAAACAATTCAGATTGACTTTGCGTTTGAATTTTTAGTTATTTCTGGACCCCCCCCCCCCCCCCTAAGTGCATCACGTACTTTATGTATGACCCCTTAAAGATCGACTTCCCGGGAACCATCCAGAGAAAACGTGGTCGAATTTCAAAGATTATTTTACCCGTTTTGCATGGAACCTTAATATGTTTTATATGAACCTTTATGGAAACCAATAAACTACAACTCTCATCACCCTCCCTCCCTCACGCTTCTGCCCCTAGAAAGAAAACGTAGTTTTTGGATGCTCCGTAATCCTGGTTGACCAGAGGGGAGGTACAGTACTCAAGAAACTATTTGTTACAACCATTATTTGCGACAAATACATTAGATATTTGTTCAATGCGTACTTTTGTCCCAGATGAAAGCATAGAGTTGATAGTTCCGTTAGAGTACGGCAGTGTGAAGATTGTATATAGATACATATTAGAAAAGCGAGCTAGGACAACTTTTAACGAAGGTACAAATCGGTTTTTTCATCTCTCTTTACCAAACTCCCCCTTTGGAGAGGGATGGTGAGGGGTGTGTGTCCCCCCCGCCACCACTGGCAAAAAGAGATGAAAACCGACCCGCTCAAGTACCAACTGTGTGTTTGAAACAGTTCTACCGATTTTTTACCGCACTTCAGTTGTTATTTGAAGGAAGGCATCCAGTCGTAGGTTTGGTAATTGCAACTATTGTTTACCCCTACCACGATATGTGCTCCTGTCATCGTCGACTTGACGATCTCGAGGGGTACAGGAGCACATATCGTGGTAGGGGTAAACAATAGTTGCAATTTCCAAACCTACGACTGGATGCCTTCCTTCAAATAACAACTGAAGTGCGGTAAAAAATCGGTAGAACTGTTTCAAACACACAGTTGGTACTTGAGCGGGTCGGTTTTCATCTCTTTTTGCCAGTGCTGGCGGGGGGGGGGGGGACACCCCTCACCATCCCTCTCCAAATGGGGAGTTTGGTAAAGAGAGATGAAAAAAAACCGATTTGTACCTTCCTTAAAAGTTGTCCTAGCCAGGCTTCCAAATAGTACAGCCTCCTCGCGACAGTTGGTTTATACCTGAATTGACTGTTGCTTTGTGTGCTTTACTGCCGCTTGCTACCGTACGTTCAGATCTGAATTCGAAGTGTATTGGCAACAGCGCACGCACGAACGAATGAAAGCTGTATTAGAACAGTCGCATCTATACCCGCTTTGCTAAAATCATCGTGCTTGGAACGTAGTGAACCGGATGGGCTGTATTTATACAATTCTTTATGACCAGGTTCTCAATGTTTCTGTCGTCATAACAGCCTTCACAAATCGACGACATCCCTCAGCTTACCCAAGTGGCTGTCACGAAAAGGCTGTCACGAGACATTATATACAATTGATATACGGCAGTGGAGTATGGAAGAAACCCAGAAGAATGATCCCGAACAGATATGTCGGCCCGATGTCGGATCAATGTAAGGTCAATTTATGGTCGACGTCGGCCAAATGTCGGGTCGATGTCGGGTCAATTTTGCATTTATGTCGGGTCAATGTCGGGCCAACATCGGGTTGGGGTTTGGTAGAAGTCAGGTTGGTGTCGGGTAGGCTTATATTTTTCGCCGGAGACCGCGCGTTTTTAAAAAAATATCGGATGAAAATTTTGCAATGGGCAGCACGAACGTGATAGCAACACCGAACGAGCTCCGGCGCCACACTGGTAGTGTAGTAGCAGTCTTACGACACACAAACAAAATTTCAAAGACAGCAGCAACGAATCGGCAGTTCGACGGACTGCTTGTTGTATGTACGAGGAACGTTACGAATGACCATCCGAGGCTGTCATAGCCGAACGAACAAAATACATGACTGAGAACGAGCTGTCGTGTACTGCACAAGACGGCAACGTTGCATGTCGTATAACAGCCTCACTGTGGGCTGTCGCTTATAGCTCAATCTCAAGGCTGTCGTAGGGAAAAGAAAGCGACAGCCGTTGGAATACTGTCATGAGGCGGTACTTTTGGTATGCCTGGTCCTAGCTCGCTTTTCTAATATCTATATACAATCTTCACACTGCCGTACTCTAACGGAACTATCAACTCTATGCTTTCATCTACTCCATCTTTCGTATAAAAATTACCACTACAGTCTGTTATTTGAAATTAGCATCTTCAACTATTACTAAAAAAGTTAAGTGCGTACTTTTGCCCCGCATTACTCTAGTCGATCGCGTTCAGAAATAACGTCAAATGGAACTCGAAAGAAGAAAAAATATTGTGCACAAACACCTGGAAAATTCGGAGTGGACCGGTTCCAAGCTAGCTAAAGTGCTGAAGATGCCGAAAACAACAGTTTGTCGAGTGCTCAAAACCTACAAGGGAACCCTGAGTGTGGAAAGGATTTAGCGGGCCTACGAAAAAAATGGAACCAGGGATCGTCAGCTGCGCAGCAAGGTTTTGAGGTGCGTTAAAGGTAACCCCGGTATTTCGATCCGAGATGTGGCCAGAAGGTACAACGCCAACTTTAAAACGGTGGCGAATATCATTGCCAAAGAAGAATACAATTCGTACAAAGCCAGTAAACATCCGCCATCTGCGGCCAAAAAGCGTGCAAAGCTCTTGTACGACCGTGTTTTGACGAAACACAAGGACGCTTTGATCGATGACGAAACATACGTCAAACTCGATTTTAAGCAGCTTCCCGGCCAAAAGTTTTACATCGCGACTGGAGGTGGGGATATGCCAGGAAGATTCAAGTTCACGTTTGCCGACAAGTTCGCAAAGAAGGCCATGATTTGGCAAGCGATTTGCAGTTGTGGCCTAAAAACGGAATCATTCTTCACATCCGCGACGATGACATCCCAAATTTACACCGAAGAATGCCTGAAAAAAAGCGTGTATTGCCGTTCATCCGCAAGCATAGGGATAAAGTTATCTTTTTACCAGATTTGACCAGCTGCCGCTACTCCAAGGTGGTTCTAGAGTGGTATGCTGCCAACAAGATCGATTTTGTCCCCAAGCTAATGAATCTTCCGAATTGCCCGGAATTTTGACCAATCGAAAAATACTGGGCAATTTCAAAACAAAGACTTCGACGAAACGGCGGGACAGTCAAGGACATCCAGCAAATGCGGGCAAAATGGAAGAAATGCGCTGATTCCGTGTCCGTTTTCACTTTGCGGGCGCTGATGGGCTCCATCAAGAGGAAGGTTCGAGATTTCGTTCGAACCTGAGAAATGTAACGATCTAATGCTGTAACTTTGCAGTTTTAATAAAAGTACTGTAAAGCAACCTTTAATGGATTTTTTAATACTTGTTGAATCACGAATTACAGGTCTTTTTGTGTGTACCTTTAAAGAAAGTGTCTCAAAGCCCAATTATTGCACGCATAATTTGCATTGAAATTGCATTATTCCACACTTTGTACCATTATTTCACACCCATTAAATATAGCTAAATGCATATTAGAATTATTTGTTTCGGCAAGAAGAATCATTCAGTGATTCTGTTAAACGATTAAACGTAAGTTTTCGGTATATTGTGCTTATCATAAGTTATTTTTCTTATTTTATTGAACCGGTCGAATATAGAAGGAAAATATACGCAACAGCACTTTTATATGAAACGTTGCATAACTTTAAGCGATATCAATACACTCAATCAGTGTTGCTTTCACTTACTTGATATAAAAAAATATTTTTCGGAATTATAAAATCATTAGATGTTATTATGATATTTTGTGCTTGTAAGAACACAAGAAGTTGTAAAGTATGTGTTTGACACATACCTGTCAATTTCGTTTCCAGAGTGTCACAATCCGCGATTTTATGATTCGTGAACGTTCACTCAGAGTGAGCGCTGAGCGGTGAGGGACACCCCTCACCATCCCTCTCCAAAGGGAGAGTTTGGTAAAGAGAGATGATAAAACCGATTTGTACCTTTCTAAAAGTTGTCTTAGCTCGCTATCTCTACTCTCTATATGCAATATTCACACTGCCGTACTCTAAACGGAACTATCAATTCTATACTTTCATCTCCTCCTCATCTATCGTATAAAAATTACCACTTTAGTCTGTTATTTGAAATTAGCATATTCAACAATAGAATCATGCTTGACATGCACAGTTGTACACACCAACTGCTCATTGGTTAATAACTTTTCACTCAGTTATTGAAAATTGATTTTCTTTAAAGTAATTGATAGATTAGGATCGTAGCTTACTATAGATATGCAAAGTGTAGGTAAACCTTAACATTTGAATCAACATCAATGAATTTTTACTCTTAAAGTCCGAGATGTGCAGCGAGCATTTCTCACTTGATTTTTACAACGCAAAAACAAATACAGTTTATTACTAGAATTAAAATCTACTTTTTCTTACCTATTACAAGCTTAAACATTATTCTATCTACTGCTTCCAACAGAACTGCACACTTAGAAATTATCGCCGAATTCGGTAATTTTTACCAAAATCTAAACAGCTGAACTGTTCGGTAAAATTTATGCAATTCAATTCAATTGCTTTTCAACTACTTTGAAACTAAATCTCCACTAAAATTACAAGATTTGATCATTTAAACAAGGTTGAACATGTTGTGATATTATTTTCAAATTCAATAGCCTTTAAAATGAAGGTCAAAGTTTTACCGAACGTTCAGCTGTTCTGATTTCGGTAAAATTTACCGAA